CCCAACAGGTCACGAGACATCTTCATCTTTTCTTAAAATTCTAGTGTTCCTACTTTTTCTCTCTTATTTTCCTTTTTCACCCTTTCATTTTTTTCTGTTCTTCCTTCCTGCTTTCTCCCTTCCGTCGTTTCCTTCCTCCCTTCCTTCTCCCCCCTTATCAGTAATTCCAAGTGCTAATCTATCACCCTTTATTTACTGTGTGCTCTGTGAGGAGCATGAATTTCAAAACCATCATCAAAATTAAGAAATGCTATTAAAATGGAAATCAGTCTGTCCCATCCAAAGCCTAGGACAGAAGCAGAGGAAGGAAGCCGGAAATGTTTGATCTTAGGTACCAAAATCCTATCCGATTCCGGCTGCCCTTTCTCCTTCCTGTGATCCCGTATCATTGAGCGTTTGTTGCCAAAAATATTGTGGAGTGGAAACATCAGCGCATGGCAGTAAAGAAAGAAATAATCAGGGGCTAAAAGTTACTGTTTACGATAAGGCGGCAATAGAGAGAAACAAGCAGAGCCTTGAAAGACGCCGTACAGAAGGGAGACATGAGTGTGCAGAACGGCAGGGACCTGTTAGTTCCAGTTCAGGAAGGGCTGCGTGAAACCTCCACGGCAAGCATTTAAAGAAAAGTCACTCCCATCAAAGAAAATGAGTTCTTTTTAAACTGAATGGGCATAGTTACGTCATTTTTTATAGGTGTAATAATATTCCCAATAAGGAAATTCTGCTGAACCTAAATATACACATTTGAACAAAAGGAAAATTAATTTTCAAAAGTACCGTGAAGATGTACTTGCTGCCTTGCAATGAAAAAAATTCCACATGACTTGAACACCACACTAAAACTATTGTTGTGAAGTCCTATAAAGTAGTGCGTGTTGAATACTCCTGGAATTTTTTTTTCTCCTTTTGAAAGTATTTATAAATTTGATTTGTAAAATTAAGTATTTCTGTTTGATACAATTTAGAATTCTTTCTTATCCAGCCGTTCGTTCCTTAGTGGATTTTAAAGAAGTTTCTAACAGCGTCTCACAGTTGTTTCTATCAAATCAAAAGTTACCTCTGTCTTTGATAGACAGTCATGTCTCATCAAGTCCGCTATACAGTCAACCCTGGTGTGTGAGTCCATGGGCAGCCTCTGTGACTTTTGATCCCTGTACTTACGAATATGCAGATGGCGGACCCTGGATATGGGAGCCATTCCTCATGAAATCCTATCAGAATGCCAGATGGTAACAACATCAGAAGTCAATTTCTGCTTCAAAGACCTTTCCTGGATTAAATACAGTATTTGTGCATCTGATTGAGGTTTGGAAAGAGTGCACAGGAAGCCCTAATTTTTGCTATCTTATGAAAGTTCCATGGTTTTGCTTTTTCAAGATATTTGGAAAGAAATTTTTCCATGTTTCTAGGTGTGATCACCTTTGATATGAAGAAATCAA